CCCTAGTCCACAGACAACTCTCACGAATGAGGTTTGCATCCACCTCCCCTACAGGGCCTGGGAGGCAACAATGCATTTTTGCAAAGCCCCCTTTCACAGGCCGAACCAGTAATAATAGCCTCATGGTGGCCAATGTCACTGACTGCTAGAGTCTAAGGGCTGCAGAATTTCTCCCGTGCTGGGAGCAGGGAGTTTCAAGGTGACAGTTTTTCAGCTCCTAGGGAGAAAGGAGGGCACCATGCCCAAGGCTGAGCAGGGTGCGGCTGGGCCGCTGGCTGGGAGCCGGCCTGCAGGTAGGTGATCCGGGTAGGAAGGGCCGGCAGACCTGGCAGGGCCTCCCTGTTTGTCTGTAAGAGAAGCAGAAGCAGAGGGGGGAAGGGCAACCAGAGCCCAGCAACCTGAGGCCAAGGATGACTCCTGAGTTGCTTTTGCAAGTGAAGAACAACCATGAAGGCTTCTAAAGCCAACACTGCCTTTTACATGTCAGTCCTGGAGGCAGGGCCCCTTGAATGTGTCTTTCTCCTCAGGGTCAACCAGAGGCAAAGAGATCCACAGGCTAGCAAGCGTGTGCCTGGGCCAGAGAGCCAGAAGGGGAAGGAAGACAAGCAGAAACAAAGGAGATCACAGGTTTGACTAGGTTGGACTTCCCAAACATACCTTGCCTTCAGGGTCACCAGCACCCAGCCTTCAAAAATATGACACCACCCCCACCGCAACCTTTTCTTTAAGACCTGATGCACTAGCTCTCTGGAAGAAAGAGAGGAAACCTATTGTTTTCACCCCTAATTTATAATCCAAGGGACCTCATTCTTTCTTTCTGACTCAAATCTTTTGAGCGTTGATTATAAAAGTAACTGGACTTCTGCAATGTTCTTGCTCCCACAATTAGAAAAACCCTGAAGAAAGTTTACTGAGTGATTATATGTAATTAATTCCTAGTTAAGCCTGAGCACTGGCCATTTTCTGGAGCTAATAAAAGCAGCCACTCCCCTCCCCCACGTGAATGCCACTTCATCTCCCGAAGCAGAATGGTGTACCCATCCTAGAAGGTCTTAAAGGGGCAAAGGGAGGGGAGAGATATGGAGGGGAGGGAGGCAGAGGAAGAGAGAGGGAGGGGGAGATGAGGAGGGGGGATCAAAAGCGCCAGTGTCTGTATTTGTTCCTTGCAGCTGTGAATCCTCTTTGGGGACCAAGGAGGCAGAAGGAAAGGGAAAACAGACCCTCAGTTTGTTTTCCCCTCTGCAATTTGCACAAGTGTTGAACCTACCACCTTGATGAGGAAAAGCAAGGTGGGGGATGGGGGATCCTAGGGATGGAATGTAGGAGACTCTTCAGCTTGGCCACCTGCTTTTCCTAAAAGGAAGGGAACAATGGTAGAAATTTCCAGAAGTCCTGTACTCAGGCCACTGCAATTGTCAATCTTTAACCTTTTCCCCAAAATCTCTTGGTTTAAAAGTGCAAGGGGGAAAAAAAGGAACCCCATTGGGCTAGTCTGTGAGCCAGGACTGAGGTTCCCACCTAGAGTCAACTGCAATGCAGTCCTTTTTTTTTTTTTTTTTAACTCTCCCTTAAGTAACTGGAAAAGAATGCTACTTCGAAAGCAATTAACTTTTTACCAACCCAGGCATGGTGGTGGCCATGAGGAAAATCGGCCAGCTTGAGCAGGGCTGGGAAATTGGCTGGGGTTCACATTCACAAACAGAGCCTGGCTTTCCAAACCTGTGGGAGCCATTTTAATGCAAGGTTTGGAGGACAATCGCTTTGCCCTCAAGTTTCTTTGCAACCTGACAAGTTATGCAAATACTGACAGAGGCAAACCAGGAGGCTTCTCATTAGCCACTGGCTCTGGGGAAGACCACGAGAACCTCAGAATGTAATTTCCATTTACAGCAACAAGATAAGAAAGAATAGCAGAACTTGTGTGGAGCAGTGGCACTGGTTAAAGAGCTTTACCCCCATCCGTAGTCTGACTTCAGAGGTGCTGGCCTGCCTCAGACGGCCCCGTCCATAACTCAGTCCGTACCTCTTTACTAAACGAACCTTTTTCAACTGATATCAAAGGCTGAGTTGCTTGAACACTGAAAGGAAAAGATTAGTGCGTCTGTGAAGTTGGCCTGAGACCACCTCTGCACGCGGGGCAGCAGCTCCATGCAAGCTGACTGCGTCTCAAAGCTGAAAATATACGTGGTGAGCTGCCAGGCAGACCCTGAAGGTGAATGCTAAAGGAAAGTCGACTTCTGTCACTTTAAAATTCCAGCTGCACCCTTAAAAGCCAACATGCACAGAAGTGTGGATCAGGCTTGAGAGAAAAAAGGCTAAAACTGGTGGTCAGTGAGCCCTAAACCAAACCTAGTTTGGGAGAGTATAGGATTCTACACCAGATGTAAACACTGTAAAACTTATATATGACACAAGACACACACACACACACAGAGGCACATACCCTGTGTGTAGGGCTCTGGAACCCCTGAGAAGAGACAATTTTGTTCCCATTTCACAAGCAGATCACCTACCCAGAGTTCAGAAGGGCCAGACACAATTCAAGGTCTAGCTGCAAGTCACAATGAACCCAGCAATTCCTCCCCAGCTGGGGGTAAACAGGAAGTGAGATCTTCAGTCCTAACTGCAGGTTAGCAGGAACAACAGTGGATCCAAGCCATCACCTAAACTCAAGACACTCTTTAGAAGCCACCCCCCCATTACACCCCCCCCAATTCACCGAACTCTTGCTACACAGCCAGAGGAGATGGATTGCTTTACTTACCCAACACACGTTCAAGCAACCGTCTCACTTTTCCAGTTAGGAAGAGAGAACAAGCTGGCAGATTTGGGACTTGATCAAAAAGGAAAATTTTTTGTAAACAGTTACATGGTATTATTAAAAAATGTGCACCACCAACACCACCACCACCACAACACAACCCAGCCACTGGGTATGGGATGCTGTCATGAGCCTCAGGTATGATCTTAGGTCCTCCATACTGTATCACAGAGGCCAGAAGATGATATAATGTTAAAAAAGAAGAAGAGGGAAAGAAAGCAAGGATAAAAGAAACATTAGCCCATGGAAAAGCATGCAAGAGTAGAAAGGTAAAGGAGTCAGAGTCCTCCCAGGGTTTTTTTTTTCCCTGCAGGATGTTATTCAAAATCTCTCCCCATCCCCACCCCCACCCCACCCCCCAGGCACCATCCCTACTCCACAAACTCCCTCAGAGGCTAGAAAACACTTTCAGAACCATTTGCTGGCTGTAGGCTGGCTTGAAGAACACTCTGTACCAAAGCTAAGTCGGGGAAAAGGGCTGAACAACGTAGCTGTAAGTGCGAAGCCCTGTAGAGGAAGAGCAGTGAGTCCACACGCCACCACCCACCTAGGCCCAGCAGCCAGCCTGGCCTCTCTGAGCACTGCTCTTGCTCAGGCCTGGGTTCTGTTGCAAACAAACACACATCCTGCCTTGTCAGAACCTAGCCCAGCCTTTCCCAGAACCTCTCTGGAGAAGCAGGCTTGGTTGCTCTGCTGTCTGCCACACGCAGTCCTGAACAGGGCTGGGAGAACACCTTCGGGCTTACCTTCCAATTTCTTCCCCCAGCAAGCATGTGACAGAGTAGACAATAGTGCAGGGGGGGGGGGGGGACTGTTCAGAGAGGGAGACAGGGAGAGGAAGGGAGGAAAGAAAAAAAAAAAAAAGAAGGGGAAATAAAATAATAGCTACTCTTTTGGCATACCAGGATCTAGCTTCAAACTATTCCAGAAATTCTATGTCCTGGACAGAGTAAAGGTGTCCCAGGCCCTCAGCAGGCTGTAAAATCAAGCTATGGCTAATGGCTACTTAGCCATGTGACCCAAGAAAGGAAAAAAAAACCTCTCTAAACAGTCCCAAGTTAGCCTAAGTGCTCTGGGGGGGTGAGTGTGGCACAGCCAGGCTCCAGAGGAATCACACTGCTAGTCCACAAGTCGGATGACTCAGAGGGAGGGAGGAAAAGATGGTTAAAAAGGCGAGCTTACCTCTGTGGATGCATTGTTAACTGTGTAATGTCAATACTTATAAAACATGGAGGACAGGCTCCTAGTTCTCACAGAAAAAGGGTTTGGCACTTCGGCTGATGATCTGGCCGCCTAATAAAAGCTCATCCCCGATTGGCTGTCCCGGCAAATCGGAGTGTAAAGTCGCCGCGGATTGGCTGAAACACTTCCTGAGCGATTATCTTTGTGAGGCTCGGGTGAGCAAGAGCCATCCTGTGCATAGAAAAAGACAGGCCAAGCTAGGCCTTTTGCAGGAAGAAAAACTTAGGAAAGGGGCCCCCGCACGCACTTCTCCTACACCCTGGCGAGATTCCCCGGTCCTGGCAAACCTGTGCAGCCAGCCTGACCTGCTCCAGCAAAGCCCGAGGCCAGGATGCCACTGGGAAGAGCCCTTTTGGGGTGGGCTGGGGGTCTCATCCACACCTGCCCCCACGCAGAAGTCCTTTTCTAAGGTGGAAAACAGCCCGTTTTCTACAACAAGCCAGCTTGAATGGGTCTCAAAGGAGAAAGTCGAGCTGAGGGGTGGAAAGCCCCAGAGAAACAGGAGCAAGAGGGACAAGGCCAGATGCAGGCCTCTGAGGGGCTGAGGGGGGAACAGGCAGCCCAAGGGAGGCCCCCAACAAATCAGCGAGGGGCAGCCAAGGTTCCCGAGGGGTGAAAGGAGCCTCTGCTGTGGGGAGGAGTGGTCAGGTTTGCCTAGTCATGCTCAAAGTGCCTGCTGGAGAAAGCAGGCCCACAGAGCCAGTCTACAGCCTCTCTCCTCCCCCCTCAGTCCTCAAAGAAAAACCAAAAAGGTCTCTGTCAAGATGGCAAGGGGAGAACCTCTCCAGGCTTACCCTAAGAAAAGCCAAAAGCGTTGCTAGCAGGCCACAGGCCTCCCTTCCCAGCCCCCTCCCCCAACCAATGAGGCCTGCTAAACCTGTCAGTTAAACAAAAATCTGACTTCCGTATTAGTCTGTGATGCCTTCAGCTTCCTGCCTGTTAACCCTCTCTCGGACTCTGGGCCTCGATGGGAAAAACTAGGCCCTGAGATTGCAGAAAAGGCCTGTGGAAAAATACCAGCTGCAGCTCTCCCGGGCAGATGCAGAAAGAGAGGGAGAGCTAGCTAACTGCTGTCTCGCCTCTGCTTCCCAAGGAGGCGTGGACCTTCTGAATCCAGGGCATACAGGCAGTGTCTGAGAAGCCATTTAAATCCAGAGGGACGGAGAACGATGTCAAACCCGGCCAGGAAACAAGAACCTTCATTATAGTCAGGCCTACACACCCACAGGTTAGCCCTTTCGGCCACAATCGCCCCTGTATGTGTGCTCTGGGGGGGATCTGGGCCCTGTTTGGTGGGCTGACAAATCCCCTGGGCTTCGCAAGGGTTCCTGCTTCAATTTATTTCCACAGAGAACTGCTTCTTTTCGCCCCTAAGGCAGAGGGAACGGTGACTTCACACACAGCCTCACACTTGGCAATTCCCCCCACTCCCCCAGTCCCTGGCTCTGCTCCCCAGTAAAATATTAACTAGTTTCTCAGACCTGCTTATAATTCTACTCGTTTCAACAGTGCTGGGTGGGAGGCCCATGCCTGTTTCCTTCTAAAAGCTGCATCGGTAGAAAGGGCAAAGACAAGAACCTTAAATTGTCCAAGCCTCTCTCCTACCCTCTAGTTATTTTTAAACAACAACATAATTAACAAGATAGATAAAAAAAAAAAACAGATGCTAAATAAACACCTTTCTTTGGGGGCTGGAGTTGAAGCAGCCAGACACCAGGAGGCGGACCCAGGAAGCAATAAAGTCTCCCTCAGCGACAGAAATTAGGGCTCGTCCTGCCTCCCCACCATTCCTCACAGAAATTGAAGAGCTGAGCTGCTCGCTCGCTCTCCCTGCCCCCCAAGGACAACAGATGCCCAGCAGGCCGGCATGCATTCTCCCTGGCTGGGGCTCTGTAGACCCAGCCAGGAATCTAAACACTACTGCAGGGAAGAGCCCTGGCTTTGGATAGGAGACAGGATTTGTTGTTTTAACAGGCCGAGGCCAAGACAGGAGACATCTCCAGAGCCACGAGGCTGACAAAGGACTCAGGACAACAGGCCTGGCCTCACCCGAAGGGAGGAGTCAGCTCTTACTGGGGAGGAAAACCTTAACTGGGACCAAATGGGGAAGCAGAGGTCTGATGCGGGCACACTCTCCTCTCCCTCCCATTCATGTGGCAGAGGCCTCCACCATTGCCCATATGAAATATTGCTTTAGGGGAATAAACACCACATGGGGTTGCTAACTTCAGAACTGGAAAAGGAAATACATACACAGCCGGACACTCGTGGATATCCCAGGTTAAAACTTGTTGCATAAGCAATTACAGAGCGCGCACATGCACACACACACACACACACACACACACACAGAGGCCCTCTCCCTTCTCTCTCCCTCCCTCTCTCCCTGCATCTGATCACTTGAACTGTTTTCTGGGGCAAAGAGCAGGAAGCTGCAGGCCTGTGCTGGCGACATATCGGGGCAGCTTTGTTTGAGGAATGCTGCTGCCATTCAAGCTTGTCTGAGGTTATCTGGGAAATGTAACTGGGCTGGAGACAGAGACAAAGGTAGGGTGCAGACAGAATTCTGGGAAGGACACAGATTGAGAAGGAAGCCTGAGGACCGCCTACCAACCAAAGCTGATCCTGGGCTTGATGGAATGTGACTGACGGCAAAGCAACAGAAAACACTTCTGAACGCCTCGCTGCTCGGCCGCTCGGCCGCCACATCTGTGCTGCACAGGCTAATTGCATCAGGGCAGGGATTGGCTACAGACCTTGAACCAGGCCCAGAGAGGCCATGTGCACGGCTCAAGGTCACACAGCTAGCAGGTGCCTCCAGATGACTACCAACCAGTCCAGCAGTAACCCCAGATTGCTTTGGCTGAACTGAGGCTGCAATGGCAAGCAAGCCCTTTTTCTTTCTCTTGGGGCTGGAGAGATGGCTCAGTGGTTAAGAACATGGGCTGCTCTTCCAGAGGACCTGGGTTCAATTCTCAGCACCAACATGGCAGCTCACAACTGTCTGTAACTCCAGTTCTAGGGGATCTGACACCCTCACCCGGACATAAATGCAGGCAAAGTACTAATGAGCATAAAATAAAATTAAAATATAAAAAGAGATCCACCCTAGGACTCAACTGACCCAACTGTCCATTTACAGAAGAGGTGTGGAGGGGATAGCCCCCTTTCCTGTATAAACCTCCTGATAGACTGCCACCTCAAATGAGGCTTTTGTATTTCTTAAAATCTGTGCATTTCAACAGGCGCAATTTTGTCACCCAACCTAGGTGACAACTGCAGACTTCTGGGCTGTCACAATGGGAGAAGAGCTGACTGCTGACATCGTGAGTAGAAACCAGAGACACAGTAAAAACACTGCCATGACCCCCACACTGCCGGGAAGTGCCAGACCCAGAATGCACTTTGTGCTGAGGTTGGGAGTCTGCAATAAAACAAGGGAAGGGAAAAAAAAAAAACAACCATCATGTTTCTGCATCGAAAGCCGGCACCGCTAAACAAGTATGCTCCTCCATGATATTAATAAGTAATGAGCTAATAAAATTGTATTAAAACATGTCTCTTTCACTAAACCTGGTGGTGCAGGTTTGTAATCCCAGCTCCCGGCTGGAGTGAGGGGCTAAATTAGAAGGATGGAAAGTCAAGGCCAGTCTTGAGTCTCATAAAGGGCCGACTTGGGCAACACAGTGAGACCTTGTCTCAGAATAAAAAGTGAAAAGAGGCTTGTACATGTAGTAGCTCAGTGCATGGCTCTTACAAGGTCAGAATCCAGCTTCTGGGAAGCCATGCAGTCAAGACAGCTAGCCTTGGAGGCGGGGAAGGGCTGGTCGACCTCCCTCTCCTGCGCCTCACTTAGCAGAGGCCAGGCCTCCCTGAGATGGTTCTCAAAGCCTCTGGCCAGCAGCCAGGCAGCAGGAGGAGGAGCAGCCTCTGCAAGCTGCATCCCAAGATAGCTTAGGCAGAAACTAGGAAGCCGGCGACGTGGACTTATCTGCCATGGGCAAGAAGACAAACAGTCTTGTCTGTTATGTGAAACTGTGGGGACTGAGGCAGGGGCGGCGTTTAAAATATCTTGGTTTTGTGTTGTTTCTGTTTGGCCAATTAGAACCAGAGCCAACCTTGGGGACAGTGACAGCAGGGCTCACCTTCAGGGATGAAACTGACAGCATCCTGTTACAGCCACAAAGAGGCTTGTCCCTCCCTTGGACAAGATGTCTGCCCCGGCTGGGAGGAGGAAGAGGGGTGTGTGTGGTGTGTGGTGTGTGTGTGTGTGTGTGTGTGTGTGTGTGTGTGTGTGTGTGTGTGTGTGTGTGTGGTACAGGGTCAAAACAAAGGAAGGCCATTCAGTGTCACCCAAACCTGCTTTTCTGCCGTCCCTATTGCTTTACTGTTTGTCTCTCCTTCCCACTAGACCATTGGTTATCAATGGAGGAAAACATTTGCCTCCCAAAGGACATATGGCGATCTCTGGAGAGGGGCTGAGGGTGGAGATGCTTCAGGGATCTAACAGGGAGAGTTCAGGGATACTGACCCTGTCACATCCTACCACTGCACACAGGACAGCCTACCAGAGAGGCAGCCTGCTTCACTGTAGCCTAACTAAAGCTTGGGGTCCTGTGTGGGTCTAGGGGTTTCACTGAACTCAAACCCTCTGCTCAGGCCTTCTCCCAAATTCAACCCAGTGCTGCCCCAGATTAGTAAAGCTCTGTAAGTCATCATCTACCCATGGGGTAGAACAGACACACACAAAGCCCTAAATCCCATCCCCAAGAACCGCAAGCAAAACAATAGGGCCAGGAGTGGTAACAATTTTTATTCCAGCACTGCACTAGGGAGGCAGAGGCAGGCAGACCTCTGTGAGTGAGGCTAGACTAGCAAGTCCCAGGACAGTCAGGCTACATAAAGACCCTACCTCAAATCAATAGATGATAGATAGATAGATAGACAGACAGACAGACAGATGCCTGCCACAACCTCTGCTCCAGTTCCTGCAAATACTGAAAACATACACACACACCACGTACCACCTAGGATGACAACAATCCTTGTCCAGCTCCTGTCCCTCCCTCCTCAAAACTCCATGATTCCTTCCCTGACTCCCATCCCTCTAAGAGCAAAAGCCAAGCCTTACAACTGATTGAACACCCATCCTCACCAGCTGGGTGGCATCCCATCTCCAGTTTCGCCTCGTTCCTCCTCCCCTCAGCCCTCTCTGCAGCTCCCTCCCTCCACTCTGTGTGCCCATCTGTCCTCTCCACCTGCCAGCACACCCCGAGCCCCTCCTCTGGCCTTTGCACTTGGTCCCCAGCTCTGCTCTGTACCTCCTCCCCTCAGCCCTCTCTGCTCCCCCAGCCCACCTCAAAACACTAAGCCATTTCCTCCTCTGGACCTCAGCACATCTGTCTATTCCTTCTAGTTTCAGAAAGGACTCCTCCAAACCCTGGTATGGTGGAGCACGTCTGTAATTCCTTCATTTGGGAGGCTGAATTTGAGACCAGCCTGGGCTACATTACATAACAAGATCCTGTCTCCAAAACCCAAAGGCTAAAGACATAGCTCGGTGGTAGAATAGGCCCTGGGTTTGGTCGTTAGCACAACAAAAATAAAAAAGGATTCCCAGGCAGACAGACACTCAGGGTCTGCCTTCCCCTCCCCAGCCCCCCTCAGCCAGGGCCCCCCGTTTCTCTTGCAGCCTTCACTCTTTCCCTTTCTTCCCCACATCAAGAGGCAGAAAGGGGCGGTGGTTAAATGTGTGGCTTCCAGCAGCAGACTGCCAGGTGTGAATCCCAGCTGCTCCACTCATCAGCTGCAAGGCCCAGGTCCACGATCCTCCTTGCCTAGATTCCCTCATCTGCACAAGGGAGCAGTCACAGTACCCACCTGGAAGCCTGAATGCGCCCTTCCCATGGGGCACTGTGGCTACAGCACAAAGCCAGCCCATGTCCAGTTTCCTAGCCTGTTTGGCTCAGTCTCATAGTTTCCCTCCAGGCCAGCAAGGGGGCTCAGGAGCTAAAAGATCCTTGCAATAAACCTGACGATCTGCCTTCAATTCCCAGGATCACATGACAGAAGCTGTCCTCTGACCTACACGCAAACTCATGTGTGCACACACACATGTGGGTACATGAAAGTGAGTACGCTGGAAATCTCACATACTTAAAAGAATAAAATCTCGGCAGGCGTTGGTGGCGCACGCCTTTAATCCCAACACTGTGAGTTCGAGGCCAGCCTGGTCTACAGAGAGAGTTCCAGGACAACCTCCAAAACAATGCAGAGAAATCCTGCCTCGAAAAACCAAAAATGAAGAAGAAGAAGAAGAAGAAGAAGAAGAAGAAGAAGAAGAAGAAGAAGAAGAAGAAGAAGAAGAAGAAGAAGAAGAAGAAGAAGATCTCAGCAGGCGGTGGTGGAGGTACACGTCTTTAATCTTTAATCCCAGCACTTGGGGGGTGGGGCAGAGATCTAGAGTGAGGAGTTCAAGGACAGCCAGGGCTAAACACAGATTCCCTGTCTTAGAAAATCAAAATAAATTAATTCATTAAATCTAAAATCTAAACAAATTTTCTACATAAATATGGAGATGGCTTAGCACCTAAGGGTACTTGCTGCCAAGACCAGTGACCTGAATTTGACCCCCAGGACCCACATAATGGAAGAAGAGAACCATACCGACTCCTTTATGTCATCCTCTAACCTCTAAATGTGTGTGCCCTGGCGTGTATGGTCCCACACACTCAAAAATAAGTAATGAAATGTTTAAAAAGTAAAAAGCTCTTTAATTTACTGGAAGTCAGTGGGTAGGGTCACTTTTCATCAAGCCACTGAACTGAACTCAATCCTCGGGACCTACATGGTGGCAAGCAAGAACAGGCCCTTGTAATTTGTCCTCTGATCTCTACTTGTGTGTCACGGCGCACGCACACACACAATATAAATAAAAATATAATTTCAAAATTTGATATGGGAGCCAGGTGGTGGTGGTGAACGCCTTTAAACACAGCACTCAGGAGGCAGAGGCAGGCGGATCTCTGTGAGTTCCAGGCCAGCCTGGTCTACAAAGTGAGTTTCAGGACTGTTACAGAGAGAAACTCAGTCTAGAAAAAAAAAATCCACACATAAGATAAAACATTAAATTAAGGCAAACCACTGTAAAGAGGAGCAGGGACAGGGACAGAGGAATGATATAAGGGGAGGAGTCTGATGCAGAAGGCTAAGACACTAGAGCTGAAAATGGTCACAGCAAACACATAAAAAGGCCCTGCGGTAGGGTAGGGCTGAGCCTGGCAGATCAACTGTCACTCAGTAAGAGAGGTTCTGAAGGTTTCTCCTGGAGACATGATCTCTGTGTCAGCAGTTCTTCTGTGACTGAGCCAAACTATCCCAGGACATCCTTTTCTTCCCATCCCTACTCTCCTCCACATCCAGTCTTCACCACCCCTGGTTCTCCTGCCAATGAAAACCGCATAAAAGATAAACAAAAAGGCTGGGGTAGGAGCTCAATACTGGAGAGTTTGCCCAGCAGGCACAGATCCTAACCCCAGCACTGCATAAACCAGGTATGCTCTTAAACGCTTGTATTCCCCTCACTTTGCTACGCTGTGAGTTCGAGGCCAGCCTGAGCCATGGGAGATCCTGCCAAGGAAGGAAGGAGGGAGAAAGAGAGATGGACATGTGTACACTGGACCTTAAGCTCCTCCTCAGACCTGGCTCTGGTTCTTTCTGCCAGCCGCAGAATGCCGAATAATGTTCCTGGGTCATCTGGCAGCGCAAGTACCATGGTTGTCTGGGAGATGAGACAAATAACAGGATGCGGGCATCTGTCTGCTCTGAGAGCACTGAGATGCTCCAGCATAGCCACTCCCATTGCTGTGCTCACAAAACCCTCAGCAGCTCCCTAGCACTCCAGGGAAGACTACGTCCTCGGTAAGGCCCCGCCTCCTCAGACCCCAAGCCTAGCTTCCTGCTACTCCCAGAGATGACACCAGGCTGCATTCCCGTCCTCTCCAGGTCCTGAACCCCCTCTCCAATCCTAAGCCTTATTGGTTCCAGAAACCTATGGTGTGAAACACATGGCCTTGCAGGTGCGATTTCTCCAAGTCCCCAATTCCTGGGACCCAATGGCGAACAAGTCACAGCCAGCATCCTCCTGCCTGCCAAACAGCTACTCTGGTCCAGGATCTCTCCCCACCTGACTGCTCCAAACTCAACCCTCACAGTCCTGGGCTCTTGTGTTCCACCCCCCCAAAGCTTCAGTAGGCACCAGCGCTCCCCCAAGGAGTGAGTCACCTGTCTGTCCCCCTACCCTGCCAGGCTCACTCCCTCTCCTCTGGGGCACCTGGGGACACTGCTTCATTTCTCTGGGCCCAGCCATGGGGATCTTATCCCCAAGGTGATATGTCAACTGCCTACTCAAAACCTCCTAGGCATTCAGGCTTGAAGACGCAGGCCTATGCTTCCAGTCACTTAGGCGGAGGCAACAACCCAGATCCTGCCTCAAAAGAGAAATAGGACTCAGAGTAAGTTGTGGTGGTGTGGTGGCACACACCTGTGATCCCTGCA